CAGCACATAGCAAGTACTAGGAAAGGAAATGGTGTAAGGTATAGTGAGGGTCTTGTGGATGTTGAAGTCTATCCTCTACCAGCACAGGCTAGTGCTAATGGTTGATAATCATCAGCACCTAGTAAGTACCAGGAAAGGATAAACAAATATCATTTGTATGGAAACAGAAAGACTTACCTTATTCTCTCCCACTAATGTCTTGCTTGTTAGGCTACCAATAAGCTGAGTGATTTGGAAAGTATGGAGCATTGGTTTATATATACTGGACAGTGTTGAAATTGCACTAGAGTTTGACATATTTTGATTAATCCTAATTGAATTAACAGATGGTATAGTTGAGTATTATTTGAGTGATTGTGATAACAAGGAAGTAGAGGTGTTCGAGAACAAAAGATTAGTGCCTTTGTGTGTGGTGATGGTCACTTACCTGGCACAGGTGTGATCCAATTACCAACAGAAGGCCAGGTAATTAATTGCTAATGTCTACTCAATAATTATGGACACCAACACCATAGGGTCATAATTACCCTAATAGTCAATTCAACTTTATTCTCTTTCACAATACAATGTATAGAGANATACAAAGAATTACCTACATACATACAGGTAATGAGTGTTTTATACCTGAATCTAACAAAGATGTCCTAAACAATTGATAGAAAGTCCTAGCAAAAATATTTAACATTTTTTTTGTAGAAAAACAATTTTAAAAAATGTTAAATTTGATAATTAAATTTATATTTTGTTCTCGTACAAAGTGATAAAAAAATATATTTAAAAACCCAATAAGACTATTATAGTTTTGGGATGTTCCCACAAAGTTTTCAAGTCAAGTGGTTAAAAAGCAGCTTTTTATATATAATTTAATATCTTATCTTTTAGTTTGAAACCAATTGTTATTACTTACTGGAAAGTTTATAGCACATTTAAAGCAATTGAATTTTGACTTCTATAATGCAGACTTGAACAGAATTGAGTTATTTTTTTCAGGTGACGTTGAGAAATAGTTATTGATGTTGACTTGTTGTTATAAAGTGGCTTTTGTAATGAAAGTTGTATGACTCCAACACGAGAACATGGCACGTCGAGATGAAAAGAATTTTGATTTATCATGAAATATTGCATAAATATACAAAACAAAGGGAACAGGCAGTAGTATATGAATATAAAAAATGATAGATATATCTAATACTGCATGTACAAAGTCATTAAAATCAAATTAATGACAAATCAGTAATTGGTTTTTGAGATGATATTGATAAATGTAATATGTATACAGGTAAAAATCCTTAAAATTTGGAAAACATTTACAATATACATCACACATTCCTATTATTATTATTTTTTTTTTTTTTTTAATTACGTGGCAATAATCACTCATGATATGCATGCATAAGTATGCTGTAAGATATTTATAGAAGTTCATTATTTAGAGTTTATGTTTTTAACATTTGTTAATAGGGTTGTATGTCTATTGATATACATTGTTTCTATAATTGACACTGAATACTAAGTTCAATCTATTGTGTTACAAATGAACTCTATGTATTTAATATGTCTTAATGTTTTACATGATATGATTTCTCTTAAATATTGCTGAATTAAAGTAATAATTTATATATTCATTTCATAGCAAGATAACTTAATTAAATGAAATTAAACTTTGAATCACTTTTATTATAAATAGTCACTGAAATAATGTGATAGATTTACTTGTATTTCATTACAAGTAGTGTTATTTTTTTATTTCAGAATCTTGCATTCAACAAACCTATTGGGTTGGAAGCCAAAATTCCTGTTAAGAAAAAAATTGTTATCAAGGTAGGAATATTTTCTTTTTAGTATATTTTTTTTCTTCTGTCTAGTTTTTATTTGACATTTTTGGATTACAGGCAAAAGTACTGTTGCATAGTATAATATATGCTTGTTGTCGTTGTTAGGTTTATTAGGAGCCCTGCATCAGAGCTGTGGGTGCCCTATATTAATAAAAGTGTCAATCTGTCTGTCTGTTTGCAAGTCCATCCCTTAAATCTCTTGTTTTAGGAGATTATTTCAGAATCTTAAAACTAATCTTTCTGAAATTTGGTATAGTGATACTCTGTGCGGTTGGTCCTTATCTCAAAATAATAAAAAAACAAAAAACAAAACGTGAAGATACACTGTGAAATATAGATGTGCAATAATTGTTCAATAATATTTGAAGGTCAAGGTCACTGTCACTAAAAATAGAATTGAGGGAGAAGGGAATTAGTCCTTATTTTGGAATCCAAAAGTCTAATCTTTTCAAATTAGATATGGTGATACTTTGATATGAATTCGAATATGCAGTAGGGATTTAAAAGTTTCTAATTACAAGGTCACTGTTACCAAAAATTGACCATTTACAGTCCTTATTTTGGAATCTAAAAGACTGATATTTTATAAATTTGAGATGGTGTTACACTATGATATGTAGATTGTGCAATAGGGCTTTAAAAACTGGTCAAGGTCAAGGTTACTAAAAATAGACCATGGCAGGGGGGTAGGGTATGTTCAGGCACATTGGCAGGGCCCTTGCTGACTTTTCGTGTTCAGTGGCAGACCCAGGGGTGTTGCCCTAGTTGCCCAGGCAACACCCTTTTTTCTGTGTCCAAAAATAATTTGGATGAAGGTTTTTGAAGATTTTCCTCTATTTCATATGGGATTTCCTTCTTCTATCAACCATCCCTTGAACTATGATTTTCTATGGCTTCCCTTCGCCTATAGTTTGAATATCTATATAATTATGCCTAAGGGTGTTGCCCAAAATAAAGAGTCCACTACTTATACTCTAAACAATAGGGGATTAATCTTCCATTGTCTATATATAAATTAGTAGGGTCTCCAGTCAGGTCAGTGGTGATCAAGGCTCAGAGGACTGTCTCTACCTAATCTTATTGTTCTAAGGTCACGGTGTGGTGATCATATACCCTGTCATGGAATTAGGTATAGGTAAAGTGTTATTTCAAAGGTAGAGTCTATTTCATGATAGATATACGGTACCTGTATTTTCCCCAGTGGTTTCAAGTACACATGGTCACCAGGAGTGACTTACTATACCAATTAAAAAATATAAATTTCAAAAATGTCAAAGACAATGAAGCATCCACCTTATACTAGCATTACTTCATCAGGTGACTAATAATCAATGTTAGCATAAAAGCCTGGCGTGTACATCCTTTTCATTAGGTGTTGCCATTGTACATATATATAATAATAATAATAATATACAACATTTGATATAGCGCCCTATCTAAGATAAGCTAAGATAAGCCACTCTAAAGCGCTTTACAGTACATAGATACACAATTTTATACAGTCAATACAATAAGCATATATATATTAATCTATACAATATTGAGGAATTCGCAGGAGCTGCCTTATCAGGCGCTTACTACTGGTCCTATGCCACCTGGCTAATATCTCCATATCTGTGTGTGTGCTGGAGATGTATTGTATTATCAACTGTTTGTCTTTTATTGTGAAATAGCATGCAGAATCATCATTCATATTTATGACAAAATGAATTAATATTAAATTGTGAACATCCCCCCCCCCCCCCCATTGTTTTTTTTCTCTGTCTCTTTAGTCATACTTTCCCTTCTGTACCTCTAGGACCTGCTCTAACCTCTTTTCTAAACAATGCTTATATATAACGGACATAATTTAGCTGTAATTTAATTTGACATACACATCATTAATTATACCTGGAAATAATAGAGAGGTACCATGGCCATATATGAAGTTTATTATAAATGAATATTTAATGAATGAATGGTAATGTGTGAGAGTAATAATGTTTATGTATGATATATTTCCATTGCAAACTCAGAAAACTATTCTACACCTCACTCGATCTGTTTGTCAATAGCAATAATGTCCGATAAATTCTTGCTTTCTACGCTCGGCAGTGCTTGAAATAGTAAAGTATTACATCTTCAGAGAAAAAAAATTGCCTCACTCCGTTTGGCGGTGAAAGTATAATCGTCCCAATCTCAGCAAAAAAGAAGTTATATATATATTTGGTGGCAGAAAGTAGTATAAATAAAGAACCGACATGACAATTCTAATTTATCAGTTTTAGATAAGTGCAAAAACCTGTCTTTTTCTGAGTTTAAAATTTTGGGCAACACCCAAAATTAATTCCTGGGTGTTCTAGTTTTGTAAGAAAACTTTAAATAGTGTAAACAGTTATCCTTGATGCAAAAAAGTCATAGTCTTATCCAGTGAGGGGAATGCTTTCATAATATTCAACAGTGCAAATTATTTAAATGACTTGCTCCATTAATGTGATGCTTTACTGACATTCACAAATTATGTGTCCCCATCATTTACTTCCCCTTTGCATGAATGGAGATATAGATTTTATTTTCTTGCATACTAGACCGAAATTCTATCCAACCCTCGGGTCTGGATCGCTTACACGCGCAGACTGCAGGCGTTATAGTTATAGTGATCTTCCGGGGTCACGCTATTGTTCCTGACAACATTTATGACGTTTTGGGGTTAGTCAGGGTCATTGACGTCATTAACAATTGCCATCCGAGCTTCTTATGCAAATGAAAAATTTGCAGACAGTTTACAATTTTACTAGAAGCGCAGCTGTTTTTACAGGTTTTTAGCTAATAAGCAAGTCTCGGGTCTCCTGCTCAATATTTTATCCTGAGGGTTTGAATTACATGTACCTTATCCATACCTCACATCAGGGATGGATTCTATTAATACCCCACCCCTACCTTAATGTTAAAAACGTATCAGTATTGGGTGGAGTGGGGAGTTGTTAGCTGCTGGGACATTATTCAAGGACTATTACATAATTGTAAAATGTTCAAATTTTTCTCCCCTAAAAGACTAATGCCAATGGTTGAAAATCATAACTTGAGCAATGGCTATTTCATAATGTAAATTTCATAATGTAAATTTTTAAACCTTTCACCAAAAAAACCTGATACCAATGGTTGAAAATTATTATTATGTCTGGAGACATTGTATTAGTACTGGTTCTTCTGGTTCTGGTTCTTGCCCGGGCCATTACCTTTAAACCATTAAAGTCATAGGAGTGTATTGATAAATGGAAATCCAATGTAGGGAGACTGAGTATCACAATTTTCTCATATTCTAATGAGTCTAGAGTTGTGATGAATATTGCATGTTTATTATTGACAGAACAGTGTGTTCTCTCAATATTAAAGTCTTTTCAAGCAATCCAGGCATTAATTCAGTTGTTTTTTATCAATGAGTCACATGAACCGGCTACCTATTTCACTACTGTGACGTTTTTCAAGAAAGATAACTCTTACATACAATTACTGTGTATATGGTTTTATTATAAAATCTCAATTTTGTAATCGTTTATAGATAATTAGGGCCCCGTATCGGAGATACGGGTGCCCTATAGTAATCACTCTGTCTGTCTGTCTGTCCGTCCACAAATTCTGTTCTTGGCTGATAACTTTAGTATTTATTGACCGATGTTCATGAAACTTGGTCAAGAGGTTCAGTTCACAAAAATACACATTGAGGTAAAAAATCAAGGTCAAAGGTCAATGTCATTAGGTTCAACGGTCAAGGTCAATTTTTTTTTATCTTTTCACTGATGAACATTTTGTTATGACATCATGAAGCAAAGTTGATCAGAATTAAACAAAGAGTCAACTGACCAAAGGTCAAGGTCATCGGGTCAAGGTCAAATTTTGTAGCTTTTTACTGGTGAACATTTCACTATGACATTATGAAGCAAAGTTGATCAGAATTAAACAAGGGGTCAACTGACCAAAGGTCAAGGTCATTGGGTCAAAGGTCAAGGTTAAATTTTGTACCATTTCCCTGATGAACATTTTGTTATGACATTATGAAGCAATGTTGTTCAGAACTTAACACAGAGTCAACTGACCTTAGGTCCAGGTTACGGGGTCCAAAGGGTCAAGGTCAAGTTTTGTATTTTTCACTGATGAACATTTTGTTATGATATCAAGAAGCAAAGTTGGTCGGAATTAAAGAATAAGTCAACTGACCAAAGTTCAGGGTCACTAGGTTAATGGTCAAGGTCATTTGGGTCCAAAGGTCAAAGACAAAGTGGATCTCTGACTTTGACCCTGGCTCTTGATGTAGGAGGTATATAAGGTGAAATAAAACAAATCAAAGCTAACAAATTAGTATTGCACCGGTATTTACATTTCTGTTAGCCCAGCAAATATGAAGGTGGAAGGAAACAAGACTCCCATCATAGCACATGTAAAATGTATATTTTGCTTCCTTGCTATTTATTTTGAAGTCCAAATGTCAAACGTCAAGCTCAGCTATATGGGCAGATTACTTCTCGATGACTATGGGGGATATATTGCCACAAGACGGGGCCCTTACTGACCTGTCAGTGTTCTAGTTAATTTTACACAATTTCAGCATTTATTAAATTGATATACATTAATGCAATACTAATCTATGTCAGTATCATTTTTATTGACAACCTATATTTTGTTTGTGGCAGAACATTTTCTTTACTTCGAAGCAATATAACTACAAAATTTTAAGAAAATTTACTGAGAAATGGTGACACAATCCTATTACCTTAAAAATGTCTTGAGTTCTCCTCCTCATATCTTTACCTTTTTTTAAATGAAATATTGAAATGTAAGATTTTATGCAGGAGGTACATTCTATGCATTACACTGGGCCATAAAGAACTGAAGGACCAAGGGTCATGATATTTGGCCAGTTGGTATCTGGGACAAAGTGCTATAAAGTTTCCTCAAATTAATGACCTTGACCTGTTTTTATGGTTATACAGCTGGGGTCAAATATGTAAATATTTTGAAACAACTTCTTCTGCAATACCAGGAGGCTCTGGGTGATGATATTTGACCAACAGCATGCTGGGATAGAGGAGTATAAACCTTTAGTCTGGAACATTCTTCAGCCATAGAGATTCAATATATAGAAATATTTACAAATGTACTTTTATTGAGAATATTTTCCCATGATTGCTCAAATATCCAGGTGAGCAATACCGGCCCTGTTGGCCTCTTGTAAAACTCAGAACACTGCTATTGATTTTATTTTGTTTATTTCTATCAGATATTACTGCATAATATGTATGATAGTCTTTATCTATGTATTGGTAAATTGCTATTTATAGAAGAGAGAATCCTCACCAAAGACTCTGACACAAAAGATCTTAGGTGTCAAAGATATGGACGGGAAGTCAACAACAACATCCCAGATAACTTCAGCGACGTCTTCATCAGTGACGTCTGGTCAGGGAGAAACAGTCTCACAAGTGACCAGTCAGACTCATCTTCATACTGCTGAGGCTTATATAGCACAGGTATTGTAACATATAGTACAGGTATTGTCATACTTAGTGCATGTATTGTCATACATAGTACAGGTATTGTCATACTTAGTGCGTGTATTGTCATACATAGTACAGGAATTGTCACACTTAGTGCGTGTATTGTCATACATAGTACAGGAATTGTAACATATAGTACAGGGATTGTCATACTTAGTGCGTGTATTGTCATACATGCACTGAGTATGACAATACCTGTAGCATAAAGTACAGGTATTGTCATACATAGTACAGGTATTGTAACATATAGTACAGGTATTGTAGCATAAAGTACAGGTATTGTCATACTTAGTGCATGTATTGTCATACATAGTCCAGGTATTGTCACACTTAGTGCGTGTATTGTCATACATAGTACAGGAATTGTAACATATAGTACAGGTGTTGTAGCATAAAGTACAGGTATTGTCATACCTGTACTATGTATGACAATACGTGTACTATGTATGACAATACATGCACTAAGTATGACCATACCTGTACTATGTATGACAATACCTGTAGCATAAAGTACAGGTATTGTCATACTTAGTGCACGTATTGTCATACTTAGTACACATATTGTCATACTTAGAACAGGTATCATCATACTTAGTGCACATATTGTCATACTTAGTACAGGTATTGTTACACTTAGTGCATGTATTGTCATACTTAGTACAGGTATTGTCATACTTAGTACACGTATTGTCATACTTAGTGCACATATTGTCATACTTAGTACAGGTATTGTCACACTTAGTGCATGTATTGTCATACATACTACAGGTATTGTCACACTTAGTGCACGTATTGTCATAGATAGTACAGGAATTATCACACTTAGTGCATGTATTGTCATACATAGTACAGGTATTGTCATACTTAGTACAGGTATCGTCATACTTAGTGCACAGGTATTTTTACACTTAGTGCATGTATGTGTCATACTTAGTACAGGTAGTGTCATACTTAGTACACGTATTGTCATACTTAGTACAGGTATCGTCATACTTAGTGCACATATTGTCATACTTAGTACAGGTATTGTCACACTTAGTGCATGTATTGTTATACATAATACAGGTATTGTCACACTTAGTGCACGTATTGTCATAGATAGTACAGGAATTGTCACACTTAGTGCATGTATTGTCATACATAGTACAGGTATTGTCACACTCAGTGCATGTATTGTCATACATAGTACAGGTATTGTCATACTTAGTACAGGTATCGTCATACTTAGTGCACATATTGTCATACCTAGTACAGGTATTGTCACACTTAGTGCATGTATTGTCATACATAGTACAGGTATTGTCACACTCAGTGCATGTATTGTCATACATAGTACAGGTATTGTCATACTTAGTACAGGTATTGTCATACATAGTACAGGTATTGTCATACTTAGTGCACATATTGTCATACTTAGTGCATGTATTGTCATACATAGTAAAGGTATTGTTATACTTAGTACAGGTATTGTCATACATAGTACACTGGTATTGTCACATATAGTAACATATTGTCATATATAACATAGGTAGTGTCATACATATCACAGGTGTTGTCATACACTGCACACACAGGTATTATCCTCCATAGCACACACAGGCATTGCTATACAGAGTACAGGTAATGTCATATCACAGGCATTGCCATATTATAGCACAGGTCATAAAGAGAACATATATTGTCATAGCACAAGTATTGTCATACATAACACAGGTATTGTCACAGTTAGCACACAGGTTTTAGTATACATAGCACAAGTATTGTCATACATTGTACACACAATTAGGCATACATAACCTCTGTCAGTTATTAGATAACAGAGATAATGTAGATGTTGTATATGTATATGGTATTGCAGGTTAAACAGGTGCTGGGCCCAGTCTCCTACAAGTTGTACACCAAGGCCATGGTTGACTACAAACAGACCAGCAACATTGACAATTTGACTTCTGTTTTGGCTAATATCTTCATGGAGGATGAAGTGCATATGGATCTGTTCAGGAGTAAGTAAACTGTGTGCATCTTTAGGGGCCTAAATAAATCATCAGGGGCCTAAATATTCAGGTGTAGGTATTTACTGAGTGAATCATTAGGGGCCTACATCTTCAGGTGTAGGTATTTACTGAGTGCATCATTAGGGGCCTACATATTCAGGTGTAGGTATTAACTGAGTGCATCATTATGAGCCTACAAATTCAGGTGTAGGTATTTACTGAGTGAATCATTAGGGGCCTACATATTCAGGTGTAGGTATTTACTGAGTGAATCATTAGGGGCCTACATATTCAGGTGTAGGTATTTACTGAGTGAATCATTAGGGGCCTACATATTCAGGTGTAGGTATTTACTGAGTGAATCATTAGGGGCCTACATATTCAGGTGTAGGTATTTACTGAGTGAATCATTAGGGGCCTACATATTCAGGTGTAGGTATTTACTGAGTGAATCATTAGGGGCCTACATATTCAGGTGTAGGTATTTACTGAGTGAATCATTAGGGGCCTACATATTCAGGTGTAGGTATTTACTGAGTGAATCATTAGGGGCCTACATATTCAGGTGTAGGTATTTACTGAGTGAATCATTAGGGGCCTACATATTCAGGTGTAGGTATTTACTGAGTGAATCATTAGGGGCCTACATATTCAGGTGTAGGTATTTACTGAGTGAATCATTAGGGGCCTACATATTCAGGTGTAGGTATTTACTGAGTGAATCATTAGGGGCCTACATATTCAGGTGTAGGTATTAACTGAGTGCATCATTAGGGGCCTACATATTCAGGTGTAGGTATTTACTGAGTGAATCATTAGGGGCCTACATATTCAGGTGTAGGTATTTACTGAGTGAATCATTAGGGGCCTACATATTCAGGTGTAGGTATTTACTGAGTGAATCATTAGGGGCCTACATATTCAGGTGTAGGTATTTACTGAGTGAATCATTAGGGGCCTACATATTCAGGTGTAGGTATTTACTGAGTGAATCATTAGGGGCCTACATATTCAGGTGTAGGTATTTACTGAGTGAATCATTAGGGGCCTACATATTCAGGTGTAGGTATTTACTGAGTGAATCATTAGGGGCCTACATATTCAGGTGTAGGTATTTACTGAGTGAATCATTAGGGGCCTACATATTCAGGTGTAGGTATTTACTGAGTGAATCATTAGGGGCCTACATATTCAGGTGTAGGTATTTACTGAGTGAATCATTAGGGGCCTACATATTCAGGTGTAGGTATTTACTGAGTGCATCATTAGGAGCCTACATATTCAGGTGTAGGTATTTACTGAGTGAATCAATAGGGGCCTACATATTCAGGTGTAGGTATTTACTGAGTGACTCATTAGGTCCTACATATTCAGGTGTAGGTATTTACTGAGTGCATCATTAGGAGCCTACATATTCAGGTGTAGGTATTTACTGAGTGAATCATTAGGGGCCTACATATTCAGGTGTAGATATTTACTGAGTGAATCATTAGGGGCCTACATATTCAGGTGTAGGTATTTACTGAGTGAATCATTAGGAACCTACATATTCAGTTGTAGGTATTTACTGAGTGAATCATTAGGAGCCTACATATTCAGGTTTAGGTATTTACTGAGTGAATCAATAGGGGCCTACATATTCAGGTGTAGGTATTTACTGAGTGACTCATTAGGTCCTACATATTCAGGTGTAGGTATTTACTGAGTGCATCATTAGGAGCCTACATATTCAGGTGTAGGTATTTACTGCGTGAATCATTAGGGGCCTACATATTCAGGTGTAGATATTTACTGAGTGCAATATTAAGGACCGACATTTTCAGGAGTAGATAACTACTGAGTGCATCATTAGGGGCCTAAATATTCAGGTGTAGGTATTTACTGAGTGCATCATTAGGGGCCTACATATTCAAGTGTAGGTATTTACTGTTTACTGAGTGCATCATTAGGGCCTAAATATTCAGACTTGAAGTGTACTTCTATTACCCACTGAAGGTGGACAATGCACTGCAATGAGGCAACTGCAGCCTTGATCTCAAGGTGTCATAACTTTAAACTGCAGTACTTTGTATTATGTGATGATGGAATTAATGAATGAAGTCTTGTTTGGACTGTTAATTTCACAGAAGGTGTGCAGTGTACCATATTAAGGTCAATGTGACCTTCACCTCAAAGTCATATAGTCAAATAAGGTCATAGATCAAATAAGGGCAAAGAAAATATATGTATGGGATGATAAGGGGAGAAATACGTTTTTGTTTACAAAGTAATTTTCTAGATCAGGAATTGGTTTACTGTGTACATTATTCCGAAAGCCTACATCTTCAGGAATGAGCGTAATGTATGCAGTGGAATTTGAACTATTTGCTTTTTGGAGGCATATTTCTTTATATATGTTTTGTTTAATTGGCATGGGATATGCACAAAAAGGTCAAGTTTCAACTTCATAACTTTGTGTTTTTTTTATCCCAATCTTCATCAAACCTTATGTGGTTGTCTTGTGTGGTAAGATCTGGAGTTGGACAACCATAATTTTACTGGTCTTTTCATCAAAAATCAAAGTCATGTCATCCAAAGTCAGCTATTCCAGTTCATTTGGTTCATTGGTTTTGATCCTTTAATCCTCATTGTACAGAAATGGACCCCTACATGATTTATTTTCTCTTATTGGCTGGATTCTTTCTTTACATGTAATAACAAGCATTTTTTTTTGTAGGGTTTTATACGTATGTGCGTCCGCACCACAGACGACAATTTGACGAGCTCTGCTGCAATCTCACGGGTCAGGGATGTGGCTTTAAACCAGAACATGCTGTTTCTAAGAAAAGAGTCCAGAAGGAAATGGCTGGTAATGGTAAGCAAAGAGTAAAACATGAATGGTAGACACCTGTTTCTCCCACCCTTCACAGGTGTGTCTCCCGTTTTAGCCGGAAAAGATGAGTTTGTCACCCCCTAGGGGGAGATAACCTTGTGTCAATTACCACGTGTTCAATTGTGACGTCATTAAAATGCGTCACCGGTAAGTGTGACGTCATTAAAAGTGAATGACGATATTCATACCCCACATGTGTTTTTGTTTACACTACTGTCGGTGGAGTTGTGACTGAAATATAAGGATGGGAGAAAAACAATCATCTTGAGGGAGTGACAGAGAAATCTCCAAACCTCGGGGTGTTTTTTTTGGTTGTCTAACCCTCGGTAGAGCCTCAGATTAGACAAGCTAAAAACATCAACCCTCGGGTTGGAGATTTCTCTTATCACACCTTCAAGGTAGGGGAACCAGGGTAGTGCTTTTAGATGATGGTATTTTCATGAATCAAAACTAATATAATATAGTAACTTAAGTAAAGTTTTTATTATGCCCCCATAACTTTAAGGGTGGGGTTCTATAGTGTTACCTATATTAATCCTGTCCTGATGTAGTTCAAGTGTTGTTTTTTTTACTTCTCCTTAAGTATTGCACCAATAGAATGATACTTAGTACACATAAAACACTGAGAAGCACTATATAAATTGGTGTTACCTTCCCTTATTAAGGAGTTATGCCCCTTTGAATAAAAAAAAGGAGTTCGCACCTCTCCCAAAGCATGGCACCGATTTGAAGGATATACTTGATTTCATTGACTACTACTGAATTTCATGTGAATGAAGCAGACGACAATAGCATGTCAACCTGACCATCTTTACTATTGGGCTATTGTTTTGTCTCTGTATGATAAAATATGTATTGCCCTTGCAGTAGGGAAACATGACTAATTGTTTCCTATTGATTAAACATGTTTCACTCAGGCTTTGCCCTCATGAAACATGATTCTTTTTGAGGAAACAAAGAATCGTGTTTCCCTTTAACAAGGGAATAAATGCATCATGTACATGAATAAACTTTATCACAAGTCACACATTATGCTGTTATAAATGGATGTAAAAGGAATCGTGAGGTTAACAAGAATTAAGAAGTCACCAAGGAGCAAGAATTTCGGTTCTATCCCCAGCAGTGGCGGTAAAGAGAGCGATGTCTAATAGGGTTTAATGTTATCCCTCCAGTGGTTTTCCTCCGTGGGTTTTCCTCCACCACGAAAACATCATTTGTTCACTTAATTAGCAAAGGATGTTTTTCATTCTACACTCTTTATCTCTTTCAGATGGAGCTTCAAAACGTCAGAAGACAGATGCTTCGTCAACCACAGTACAGATTCAGTCTGATTCAGATTGTGGAAAAACAAACTCAGTAGCTTCTCTAAAAAGTGTTTGTCAAGGACCAGCGAGTGAGAAGGGTATTAAAGACCATTTTCCAGAGAAAGCATTGGCGTTGGGGAGTACAGCCACATCAGCCAATTCAGGAACCAATAGTAGGGACCTGAAGGACAAAAGGACAGTTCTGGGGCCGCAGGAACTCAGCACCAATAACACGCTAGATAAAAGTAGCGAGGACTTATTTGGGGATGAAACACCTCAGCAAGTAGAGAAGAAAGATAAACAGATTAAAACAGATCAACAAAATGGAACAGATGGAAAGAAAGAGATGAAGGCAGAAAAGACAGAAACTATATGTATGCCCAGTATGATGGAGAGATTAAAGCATGTGACTGGGCCTCTCGATATAAGAAGCAAGATAAAGGAGGAAACAGGTCAGTATGTTACCATTGTAATGATAGGTGTCAGGTATAGCAGGGTTATAAAGTTGTCAGGTATAGCAGGGTTATACAGTTTGTTGTCTGGTTTAGCAAGGTTATACAGTTTGTTGTCTGGTTAAGCAGGGGTATACAGTTTGTTGTCAGGTTAAGCAGGGTTATACAGTTTGTTGTCAGGTTAAGCAAGGTTATACAGTTTGTTGTCAGGTTTAGCACGGTTATACAGTTTGTTGTCAAGTAGAGAGGTTATACTGTTTTTATACGCCTGTCAAATTTGACGGAAGTATTATGGTATGGGCTTGTCTGGCTGGCCGGCCGGCATAAAATTTTGTATGTCCGGCAATCTCCTCCTGCATTTTTCGAACGATCTCTATGAAACTTGGTATACATTATGATCATGATATAAAGTTGTGTCTCCATTAAAAGAATTTTGGTTTACACAACTTTTCAAAAGTAATTGCCCTTTGTTCATTTCAGTATTTGATTTTTTGTCTGGAGATCATCTCCTACATTTTTGACGGATTTCTTTGAAACTTAGTAGGCTAAATAATCATGATATGTTGTTGTGTTTCCTTGAAAAGGATTTTGATTCGACAATTTTTGCAAAAGTTATCGCCATTTGTTTATTTCAGTATTTGATTTTTGTCCGGCAATCTCCTCCTACATTGTTCAACGGATCTCTTTGACAATTGGTATACAATATAATCATGATATGAGGTTGTGTCTTCCTTAAAAAAATTAGATTGGATAATTTTTGCAAAAGTTATTGCCTTTTGTTCATTTCAGTAATTGATTTTTTGTCCGAAGATTTTCTCCTACATTTTTAGCTCACCTGGCACGAAGTGCCAAGTGATCTTATGCCGTGGCGCGGCATCCGTCGTCCGTTGTCCGTCCGTCCGGCGTCAATATTTTTCTTTAAACGACTTCTTCTTTATAACCGAAAGGCCTAGGGTGTCGATATTTAGCCAGAAGCAAACTTGGATGAAGGGCTACAAAGTTTGTTCAAATGAATGACCTTCACCTATTTTCAAGGTCACAGGGGTGAAATATGTCAAAAACTTTAAACATCTTCTTCTCAATAATCAAAATGCCCAGGGAGATGATATTTGGCCAGTAGCATATGCTGAGATGAAGGGCTACAAAGTTTGTTCAAATAAATGACCTTCACCCATATTCAAGGTCACAGGGGTCAAATATGTTAAAAACTTTAAACAACTTCTTCTGAATAACCAAAATGCCCAGGGTAATGATATTTGGCCAGTAGCATACTGAGTTAAAGGGCTGCAAAGTTTGTTCAAATAAATGACCTTCATCTGTATTCAAGGTCACAGGGGTCAAATATGTGAAGAACATTCAACAACTTCTTCTGAATAACCAAAATGCCCAGGGTGATGATATTTGGCCAGTAGCATGCTGAGATGAAGGGCTACAAAGTTTGTTCAAATGCATGACCTTCACCCATATTCAAGGTCACAGCGGTCAAATATGTTAAACACTTTTAAACATCTTCTTCTGAACAACCATAATGCCCAGGGTGATGATATTCAGTCAGTAGCATACTAGGATCAAGGGCTACCAAGTTTGTTTAAATGTATGACCTTGAATCATATTCAAGGTCACAAGGAGCAAATATGTTCAAAATATTTCAACAACTTGTTCTGAATAACCAAAAGGCTCAGGATGTTGATATTTAGTCAGTAGCATATGCTGGGATCAAGGACTACTTTGTTTGTTAAAGTGAATGACTTTGACTTATATTCAAGGTCACAGGGGTCAAATTTGTTTAAAATCTTTAAACAACCTCTTCTGAATAACCATGGGTCCCAGGATGTTTATACTTTGCAAGTTGCATCCTAAGATGAAAGGCTATACAATGTGTTCAACATAATGACTTTGTTAGACTTTCAATCACAGGGGTGAAATGTTTTAAAAAGGATTAACAAGGTCTTTTGAATGAATTTTAATCATAAATACTGATATTTTGCCTGTAGCTTTATTTTAGATCACTTTTAAGGTTACAAGTGTGAGTTTTATACCAGGTGAGCGATGCAGACCCATTGGGCCTCTTGTTTATAGCATGTCAGCTAACCACTCTTAGAATGATCTTATTTCAGTGTAAGAAAGTATTTAACACTACATGTACATGGCATCCGATGTGCGTATATTGTTCCGCCCCGCGGTACTCTAAGGTTTAATGTGTTTATACATTTATGTTGTGATATCTGTTACACAGGCTACACATGCTGTCTCTGTAAGGAGGACGCCACCACGCCTTTCAAAAGAAAGTGTTTGAAGTAAATAAAGTTATTTCATTTCTGATGTATCCCATTGTTTTACATTTGCCACCATGAAATCAAGGGTAATGTAGTGATCTTAGGCTTTCATTTGTTGTCCTTTTCCCTGAAATCTCATCCAGAGATTAAATTCTAAGGTAGCTCTAATGAGTTTGTGCTTTGTACATTCATGAAATGTGGTGTGACAAATATGAACCATACCTACTGATGTTTTGCTGGTAGACAATATTAAGAAATATCTTGTTGAGAAAAGGGTACAAATTTTCATTCCCTCTCCTTTTCAGAATATTCTTTTGTAGATCACTCAAAGTGGTAAACACAAACTAGATGATCTTACAAACTATTTTTATAAAAAATGAAAATGTTGCTTTTCTTTACAGAAAGACAAGCTTTGTCCAGAATGTGGGGTGAAGGTGAGAAAACGACATCTCGAAGGCTTGATGTTTAGCAACCCTGACAACAAGAGAAACAACAACTCATAGGGTTTTCTGAGAGAAACAACTGTGAGCATGTCTGAGTTGTCAGCAACAGAAACATCTTCTAGGCCAGACAGTCTGAAACAGCGATTCCTCAGACTGATGTTCACAAACTTGGACAACGACAGAAACATCTCCTAGGCCAGACAGCCGGAAACAGCGATTCCTCAGACTGATGTTCACAAACTTGGACACCGACAGAAACATCTCCTAGGCCAGACAGTCTGAAACAACAATTCCTCAGGCTGATGTTCACAAACTTGGACAACGACAGAAACATCTCCTAGGCTAGACAGTCTGAAACAGCGATTCCTCAGACTGATTTTCACAAACTTGGACAACGACAGAAACATCTCCTAGGCCAGACAGTCTGTAACAGCGATTCCTCGGACTGATGTTCACAAACTTGGACAACGACAGAAACATCTCCTAGGCTAGACAGTCTGAAACAGCGATTCCTCAGACTGATTTTCACAAACTTGGACAACGACAGAAACATCTCCTAGGCCAGACAGTCGGAAACAGCGATTCCTCAGACTGATGTTCACAAACTTGGACAACGACAGAAACATCTCCTAGGCCAGACAGTCTGAAACAGCGATTCCTCGGACTGATGTTAACAAACTTGGACAACGACAGAAACATCTCCTAGGCTAGACAGTCTGAAACAGCGATTCCTCAGACTGATGTTCACAAACTTGGACAATGCCAGAAACATCTCCTAGGCCAGACAGTCGGAAACAGCGATTCTTCAGACTGATGTTCACAAACTTGGACAATGACAGAAACATCTTCTAGGCCAGACAGTCGGAAACAGCGATTCCTCAGACTGATGTTCACAAACTTGGACAACGACAGAAACATCTCCTAGGCCAGACAGTATGAAACAGCGATTCCTCGGACTGATGTTCACAAACTTGGACAACGACAGAAACATCTCCAAGACCAGACAGTCTAAAACAGCGTCTCCTTGGACTGATGTTCACAAACTTGGACAACGACAAAAACACACATTGTTGATCTGATGACCCTGAGTGTTTTATTGAGTTCTCGAACACAGACAGAAACAACAGGCCTTGAGTGTTTTGTTGAGTTCTCAGACACGGACAGAAACAACAGGCCTTGAGTGTTTTGTGAGTTCTCAAACACTGACAGAAACAACAGGCCCTGAGTGTTTTATTGAGTTCTCGAACACCGACAGAAACAACAGGCCTTGAGTGTTTTGTTGAGTTCTCAGACACAGACAGAAACAACAGGCCCTGAGTGTTGTGTTGAGTTCTCGGACAGGGACGGAAACAACAGGCCCTGAATGTTTTATTGAGTTCTGGAACACAGACAGAAACAAGATGAGGAGGTTTCAGTAAAGTTCATAACATCTGTGATTACCTGTTTGTTCAGGAACATTTGGCAGGACCAAGTGATGATTGGCTGATATGTAGATTTTTACCTATGCGTCAATATTGAGCCGAAGTGATTGGAACAGAAGTATTATTACATGTACATGATATTAATGTTAAATGGTGATGTGCGTTTTGGGATATAGGATTGTTTGGCTACAGGTACAGACAAGACATGGTGGTGATTTATGCTTGTTTATATATTTATATGATTTTTTGTTTACATTGTGGACTTAATTTTGTGTTTGTTAAATTTCATGATAGACAAACTATGTGATGATTTAGTATTTCTAAGTATTGGAAACACTACAGGAGGGTTTAGAGGTTTGACACAAATCTATATTTTATAAGGTAAATCACTTTCTCTGAAAGTGTTTGACACATCTTTTTGTTACTTTGTTTCTATTGATTAGACATACTTTGGATTTTGATAAATGTAAAAATTAAATTTAAATTCAGTAAGTTGTAAACATGCATATACATGCAGAAAGATTTTTATTACTTTACTTCAAGAAAGTTTTATTAAATAATATAACCAAATGTATATATACATGTATATATACAGTAATAAAATAGATAAATTTATCAATCATAACAGCCTAGGGTACATTTCTTCAGATGTATTCGGTTCTTGTCGACTTGTTTCGCCTTCTAAGCGGGCTTCTTCAGGACAATTTTACAAACTTTCCTACCCCTGATGTACATAAATTGCAGGCCCAAGATTCTATTTTTGACAATTGTATGCTATTGTGACACCCTGCCCTGGACATTTGTTATAAGCGAGATAACTCTTGCTTATTAATTTGGCACCGTTCTTTCCTACGTCATACTTATACTTATACACTTACACATCTCAGATAATGTCCTGTCGAAATTATTGTTGTTATAGTCCTGTAATCAACACATATACCTAATTAATCATTGTTCGGTAATGACCTAAAGGTTATTGGTGTTCATCCAAACAAAGTGTGGGCATTGACTCGGACTTATAATCATACTGTCTATAGTCTCTGACTACTTCCTCTGTACCATTATATCTTCCTAACTGTTTGGTGTGGATGCCGACGACAGAGTCGTCGCTGAGGGCTTAGTCTTTCTTCATTATTTCCGAAGTTTGGTCTTCTACCTGTCTGGACTTCTCTGCGGGCTCTCGATCTCCGTCCTCAGACGATTCTATATTTGACTAGGTCAAGTCCTAGGGCTAGTTATTTTTACAGAATGAAGCCATCTGGGCTAGTTGCTCTCTTTTTTCATAAAGATCCAAAAACTTGTTATAAATTTCACAACGTCACCCTTAGCAAATATTTCAGAATAAACAAAAAAGAATTTTTATTTTTAACTTTACACATGAATATTAAACAAAAAGAATAACCGAAACATTTAGCAAGACTTGGCCTGGCCAGTTGGCATTAAATTTCACTGGCCCACCTGGCTATCTTAATTGTCATTTACCTTAATAGTGAACCCGTTATTTCTAATGATAAAACAATTTTCACTCTCAGTCCCAATATTTCGGCCTCTTGGCCTACTTCATGGGCGAAAGTCAATGTTGTGTTCAAGTTATGTCCATCTTGCTTCTTTACAAGTAGAGGAAATGACATACAAAAAATATAACGTCATAATGACGCATTGAATCTATGACGTCATAACAATACATCAGAATCACAAGACGTCAAAACGATGTTTAGAGCCAAGTGCTCTCCCATCAGTAGTTTCTCTGAATATTACAACCATATGGAAATTTGGTGTTAAATTTCCTCATCCATATGTCCTCAACTAAGAGTCTTTATGACTTTCCTTCCTTGTATACTCATGCAAGCATTATCGACTGAATGGCGTAAGAAATGCTTATTGATTGTTTTTTCTGCCTTCAGTAAAATGCCTCGAACCGTTCTTTCAACGAGCATTCTGTCTCACCCATATGTACAAATCTTTCACATTTCCTATATACGAAGCTGTGGATAATATTCCTGTCAGTATATACACTTACCACAGTCTTCTGTGTTCAAACTGTCGGTCTTCTACATACAAAGCAACAACAGTCACTTCCAGCACTTTCATTGACAATTTTCTTCATCTTGCCATGTACGAGCACATCACTAGGGATGTTTCCTCTCAAATTTGCAACAAGGTCTTCTCATCTTATCCTATCTACGCTCTGTAATTGCCCTTCTATAACTTTACTACTGAAACACACTCTTAAAGCTTGGATTTTAGGTCTGCCCTATGCTTGTTTTAGTCTTTATCCTTCAACGCCATAACCTCAGTACAACGCCGTAACCTCGGTACAACGCCGTAACCTCAGTACAACGCCATAACCTCAGTACAATGCCATAACCTCAGTACAATGCCATAACCTCAGTACAATGCCGTAACCTCAGTACAACGCCACACCCTCAGTACAATGCCGTAACCTCAGTAAAACGCCACACCCTCAGTACAATGCCGTAACCTCAGTACAACACTTTAACCTCAGTCCAGAACCGAATGCAATATTCTTCTGATTGTGAGCCGGGTGACACCAGTAATTCCTTATCATATATAGAGCTGCTTGTCTGTAGGTTACTTACGGTATAGAGATCTGTGTATACATGGCCACCCTCAACTTTCACCAATGTATCCAAAAACTCAATACATTCTCTACTCCATCTGAGCTCTATCTTGATGTTGTCATGTATTTGGTTAACAAACTCTGTGAATTGATACAGGCCTTGCAGTGACCCACACCATTTACCAAACTCGTCATAAATAAATATTTTGGAGAATAAGGGAGTCTCTTTATCCAATTTCCATATATAGCTACATGCAAAATATTTCCCAATACGTTATACTATTGCTATTCTTTTTTTCTAGAAACAGTTCTTACCAACTAACTGAGAGTTAATGTTTTCCAGGTGTTGGATACTACATGTACATAAAATAATATTTAGATTTGTTTGTTCTAAGGATCTCGGGGATTAACAAATTACAATAATGTGAAGACTTTATTTTATATACATTGTTAATGAATTATATTTGGCAAAGGGGATTTATAGTACCAAAATTATGCAGAGATTATTTTTGTAACGCCTTCCCACAGGGACCTGTACCTTGGTATTTGGAAAATTTGTGACATTTTCGTAAAATTATGAAAATATGTACATTGTCACTAAATGCAACAATAAGAATATTTTCTGATGTATTTAATAAAAGAAATCGAAAAATTATTTTATTATGATGAAAAACATTTTTAGCTCACCTGGCCCGAAGGGCCAAGTGAGCTTATGCCGTGGTGCGTCGTCCGTCGGCTGTCGTCGTCAATATTTTACTTTAAACAACTTCTTATTAATAACCAAGAGGCCTAGGGTGATGATATTTTGCCAGAAGTAAACTGGAAAGAAGGGCTGCAGAGTTTGTTCAAATAAATGACATTCACCTCTTTTCAAGGTCACAGTGGTCAAAATATGTTTAAAACCTTTAAACAACTTCTTCTGAATAACCAAAAAGCCTAGGATGATGCTTTTAGGCCAGTAAAATGCTTTGATGAAGGGCTACCAAGTTTGTTCAAATGAATGACCTTCACCTATATTCAAGGTCACTGGGGTCAAATATGTGTGAAAACTTTAAACTACTTCTT